GGTCGCGTCGGGTTTTGACTGGTCCCATAGAAAACGACAGCGTTTTGATTCCGTTCCCAAGTTTTCCCTGGAACTGAAATCCATTTCCCTGCACCAATCCACTGGGGTTATTTATGTTAATAAGGTTTACATCAAAAGGTGTTGTATCCTGATTCTTGCAAGTTGAAGAGATCAATTTTCTTCTCATTTTGTTTATCTATCAAGATTTTAGTAACTCATTATATCATATTAGACATGTAATAGTTATTTTTAGAAGATATATAAGTAATATAACCATACTGTCGTAGATTTTTTCAGCGTCACAACAGTAAGTCATATCCTTTTTGCCTCTATTAGAGAAAAAAAAATAAAGAAAAAAAAAGAGAGACTGAAATTGCATCTTGTGAATACTTTGGAACAGAACTATTAATTTTCATTTGAATTCTCTATGGATTAATATACACTGTGTGTGGTATGAGGGTAATATAAATTAGGAATGAACAACAAAAATTAACTATTCCAACAATCTCTTAGAGCCTCATATGCCTCAGGGCAAGGGGTAGCTTGAAGCCTGCTTTTGCCATCAAGGGTTGTTTCTTAGCCTTACCAAAGTATTCAGTGCCTTCTCAACTGGCATCTCAACCTTCTGTTTGAAAACATCTTACATAAATCTCTCACATTTGTCTCCAACTTTTCGATCACATGTGGCCTGCATCGCAGTTGTTATTGGTAAATTACAAGCTTTAAAATAATAATGATACAATAATAGAGACATGGAATGGGATTCAGCAAACAGATCTGACCGTTCTCCACTTTAAGCAGGATTGCATAAGTTAAAATGGCTTCCTTGTACTGCAAATAACAGTTTGAGTGTCAAGAATCAGGAAAACAAGAATACGTTATCCATGATGTTTGGTACAAATGATAAAAGGTGTCTAATGAAAATGTTAATTCTGAATGAATCCGAATTCCTTATTCTGTCTTCCCTGTCTGCTATATATTCTGGAAAATAAAAGAGAAACTCTTATCCAATTTGGATCACAATAATTAAGCACTTATTTCTGCATCTCCACAAAATAAACTACTACAAAAGGAGCTTCTCACTTGCTGCTGTTCGGAAGCATCCAGAAGAAAATGGACTGCGCCAAAGCCACTCGCCAGAGTTTTCTCATAAAGGGTCTTATTCACCAATAGCTGTCCAAATAGATTGAGTTGAGATTTGTTGAAAAAAATTTTGAGCAGCATGTAAATGTAGTAATGTCCATTAATGCAACTAGAAGGATTTTTACTCACCTGATACCTATCCCATGTCTGTTTGTAACCCAAGGCCACACGAGTAACATAGATTATTAGAGCACTGATAGCAACCACATCAAGAAATATTGCCGATCTGTATAAAATTTAAGAAAAAATTGATCAACATTGGTCTAATGGAGGAAAACTGAAAGTAGATACGATTATTTGGAATTTGGAGTCTTGAAAAGAAGAAAAGGATTTTCCACTCGATGCATGATGAGAATGCTGAAAAGAAGTATAGAACAGTCGGTTTTTCAGAAATCTGATATGCTGCAAAAACGTTGGCTCAATATATATATCAGCAAAAGTGAAAAAGAAATATTGCATAAAATTCGGAAAGTGCTTACGGGGAAAGATAGGATGTCCTCAAATTTGTAATTTATGAAGAATGCCAAAAGTCCCAACATTGTGGCAACATCTAAGCGGACCTACGTATAGAATTTCACACATCAAGGCCGGAGTTTGAAAGAACATCTTCCATTTAAAGTCTCTGTTTAAATATCTAGAACATTAGAAACTGCCAGTACAACCTTCAAGATAGGAACTAGAATAATAGAAACTCTAAACTATAATATTTCACAAATCAATCTATATATTCATGTTATTATTTAGCGTGTAACTCTCCATAGAATCCAATGAAGATTTGATTTACTGGTGCACACCGTGTCAATGATACGGAAAGACAGCTTAAACAAAATTGTAAAAATTCGAAGGCACATTAATCAAGCATCACAAACTGGGAAAAATGGTTTTAAAAAAGACATGATAAGAGCTTATAAAAAAACAACACAAGCATAACACATCAGAGAGAACTGACAGACTTGGCAATGTCATAAGTATTTACTGGTAAATGTGGAATAGGAATTCTCTCATAGATCTTTAACTGCAATGCTTGACCCTCCGAGTCATTGTTAGCATCACTTTCAATAGTGTCCTTGGTATAAAGCAAAATTAGTTCCTGGAAAGATGGTTCCTGTGTTGGAAATTTTATTTGGGCTGCCGCTAATTGTCTTTGGTTTTCTAAAATTGGGTCAAATGGAAAACCGGTAAAGCCCAATAAAGTAATGTGATCCAAATTGGCTTAGGTTTTATCTCAGTTTTATATGGTGTGATATGAATAGGTGTAAAACCTAAAATGTAAAGGTGGGCTACTTGATGGGGGTGCCTAAAAGATTATTATAATGGTTTAAGTCTCCTCTTTCATTCAGAAAACCCTACTTCTATAAATAAGAGGATTAGGGAGTGGCATGACTTATCGGTTGTCACTATACAGAAGTTAATTAGGGAGAGGAAGACCTAAATCCCAATACTAACTATATTTGGTTTTGTAGGCTTTGTCATGAAATTCCTAATTATGATAATTCTTAAAGATCTTTGAAAATTCTTAGATAATATATTGATTATGGAGATTCAAGGTACACAATTAATTTATTTATTTTTTTGATATGAAATTAATTTATTTATTAATTTTGTGTATTACATATATTATTGATTTGAATGATTTGGTGTTTTAGAATTTAATTTGTGAGATTGATTATTTTAAAAAATTCCAACATGTGGTATCATAGCCACACAAATTAGATCTAAGACCATGAAATCAATTAAATATTTGATTCAGTCTAATTAATTTTCCGCTGCTTCCAATCAGTAATATATGATGGATTGTTTGCTTTGTAATTCCGCTGAAGTATTTTTGTTGCCATCGTTTTGTTTTTCCATGATTAGAATTGCTTTACCTTGATGTGGCAGCATGTAATCTCATCTTGAAATCATATTATGATGCTAATATGGCCAATGATTGCTCTTTTGAAAGATTTGAACTCTAAATATTATTATAAGGCTCATAATTTCTTGTTTGCATGAATTCACAATTTTTGTTCTAAAGAGATCTAGAACGTAATCTTTGATTTTGAAATTGGTATACTTATTCGTACTTAGTATGAAACTATTTGGCTATATTAGAGAGCAAGTTTTGGATTAAATCCATATAGATTTGGAGTTGTGGTATGCTGTGCGTATGCAGAAAGTAATTATTGTGATGACGAATTAAGTTAAAATTATTATTGTAATTTTAGAGAAATCTTAATTTGTGGGTAACCAAATAATATTTGTGGTTATTAAAATTTTAATAATATCAATTGAGATCAATTGAAAAAGATTTGTGGAGACCGAGGAATAGTTCACTGGTTTGGGGGTATAAACTGGGCAGTTGCTGGTTCAATCAAAATCTAGTCTTATGTTGTGAACCATCGGTTACTGGAGGTGATTAATGGGAAAACTGTTATTTGGTCCCTTAGTAATTTTATTTAGTGCAAATCTATCCCTAGTGGTTTGATAAGCTTACAAATCAATGTAAAGATATTAAATTTAAGATTAATTAATATTTATCCTTTTCTCTTTCTCACATTTAAAATAATCTCCATGAATAATTATGTGATATGGAGGTGAATTTAGTTGAATCTTTGGATTTATAAGTTTATGTTATGATATTCTTTTGTTATTTGATGTCTTATTTAAATTAAAAAGAGAGGGAGAACAAAAATGGTTTAGGATTTGGAATCCTAATGGGAAGTGAAGAAAAGAAGCTGATTAGGATTAGATATCTTAATCTGCTAAGGAGTTCAACTAAGTTAAAAGGAAATGTAAATAGAAGTTGAGGGACCAGTGTTGTTATTTTACCATTCTTAGAAATTGCATAATGGTCCAAAAGTTCGACACGGACTTGTTTCTTCTACAATGGGTGAAGGTGTCGACACAAAACCAGTTAGAAGTTATTGTGCAGATCTAACACAATGTAAGGGTGTCGATACTTAGGTAATTTACAGCAATTAAGCATTGGGTGGTTTTAAATCTTTTGATATTGTGTATTGAAATTTATACACAATGTATCAGATTCTATGTGAAGAAAATCTATTAATATAATCTTATTTTAGATTATATGTGTATAAAGAATATTTATTATGTGGTTTGATTTGATAAAATCAAGATAATTGTTTACATAATAAATACGTATTAATTCATTCCATCTAAATTAAAATAAATATTAAGTGTAACACATAAAATATGTGTGAATATTTGGAGGTTAAAGATATATGGTTAGTAGCTAATGAATTATTGATAAGATATGTTTTTCATGTTTTTTGGTTTAAAATAATTTTGTGAATATTATTATGCATATGATATATGCTTCTTGGAGATTAAACTTTAGGATTTTGTTAAAGCAATTAGTCACAATTGGAGGTATGTGACTTTAGATACCCATTACTTATATAATGTAATATTCTTGGATTAAAGTTCTTGAAATTGGTTGTACTACTCAGTTGCAAAGTTTTTAAGTTTGACTATTAATAAAGAAATTTATGGTCATAGATAAATGAGTAGATAATTGTGAAACTTTAGTTTTCATTAAATATTACTTACCTTCATATGTGGTTTAGCATATGGGTTTCCTAGCACTGTGTTTTCTAATAAAGAAATAAAGTGTCCATATTTGGATGTAAAGAACATATTTACAGTTGCTAATAAACTATCTATGCAAATTAATTATGCATTTGGAGAAAGCATAATTGTTATTTTCTACTAACTTTATGGAAGTTAAGAAAATTTTCAGAGAATATGTATTAAAGGTGCATCAAGGATTGTTGAGAATTATAGTTTTCAAAAATTCGTCAAGTTATATTAAGGTAAATTACAAAGGTACAACCATGCAAGGTAATTGAGTATGATTTTACTCATATTGATATTTTATTTAAGATAAACTTATTTATTTTCATATGTGGGTTATAGCATATGAATTCTATAAAGAGATTTTGTGGAATTAAATTTTGAATATATCTCATAACATATAATTTAAGGCTAAATCATTGATTTGATAATAGATTTTATTGGTAATTAATTACCTTCAAGGAATAATTATATGTGTCTATTTTGCATATTGGTGATAGCCTAATTGTGACAGTGCATAAAAATTTCAAAATGTCAAAGAAAAGATAATTGATAAAGTTTTAAGAATTTTAGAATTTGTGTATCTTGGATTATTTAAGATACTGAAGTAATCTTATATGATTTTCTTTGAGTGTTAAAGCAAGGGAACTATTTAGTATTGAAAGTATTTTCAAAAGTTTTTGGATTCTCTCAATTTATATATTAAAGAATTACCATCATTAAAAAGTATAAAAGATGATTGAGAGGGATTATAGAACTATATATATACATGATAGTCCTAATAATATTTTATGACTAATATGAATATCAAGAGTTTATTTATTAGGACTAATGATTTCTAGCACTTAACATTTTTTTGGAATATTAAGAAATTTTGTTCCAGTGGGAGATTGGTTAATCTTCCAATAAGAATTTTGGAATGTTATATTTTTTATGGGTAATTGTTCCAGTGGGAGCTTGTGAATTGATGTGGATGGTACTACTAAAGTAGACCATTTATTGAGATTCATATGTTTTTCAATAAGGATTCTGGAATGTTTTATTATTTATAAGTAAGTGTTTCAGTGTGAGTATGTGAATTGAAGTGGGTGATACTGTCAAAGTGGGTCATCTATTAAATTCGTATATTTTTCAATAAGGATTCTGGAATGTCTACTTTTTGAAATTAATTTGTATGATCACCTGCCCAAATGGGGTGATTGTGCATATTGACTGAAAGAAGTGTAAGTAGTTAGCAATGGTTTTTTTATTTTGGTTTTATAGAGAATTTTTTGCCCAAAGGGGATTATTTTCTATGAAATCATTCTTATTAATTCACTTGTAATAAAGTTTTTTAAAGTTTAATAAAGTTTTATACCCATTAGTTATATTTACTATGTCATTAAAACTAGTTGATCTATTGGGAAGATCACATATGAACTATTAAAGTTAAGATATAAAGTTGCTACTTTCATATTAGTGCATACAAGATTCTGCCCAAAGGTGATTGTTGTATGTATTGACTTGAAGTAGTGGGAGCAATTAGTAAGGATGATAAGTATTGATTTATATTTACTAAAGGTTAATTTTTCTACTAATTGATTTGTTAAGGTTTGATTTTATGGACTTATTTAATCAACATAAAGTGCAAATAAAATATAGTTGTCTCTTGAACTCTTGAACTCTTGTGATTCAAAATGAATCGTGCTATGGATTAAAGTATATTATGAGGCACTTTTATGGAAACAAAGTTTTATTATTAAAATTATATTACCAATGTTCGATTGGTGTTAATTTATGTATCTCTTAAGTAATTGGTATTTTGATTGCATAGGTTTTGATTAAATTTGGAGATACATGTTTCTTAGCATGATGGATTTGAAATGTACAAAATTACTATTTTGTTGTTCAACTAGAAAAAATGGTAAAAGGAAGGCATTATAATTATGATAAGAGTAATGCAAAATTTAAGATATTATGAAATACCTATTATTATTTAAAGAAATAATTTTCTTTGATGATAAGATATTTAAAAGGGTTATGATAGAATAATGTGTCTAGAAAATTAGTGGGAGTTAAACAGTTTATTACTCTCAATCATTCAATGTATAATGATAAGATTATAGATATGAGAAAGTTGTTTGGTTGCAACGCAGAAACCTTTAGACGCATGTGTTATGAATTATATTGGAAATAATTCTTGTAAAAGATGCAATTGCTTTTGTTAAAGTTGATAAAGTCTTGTCACTCTTGTATTTTTGTGTTTGATTAAAGTTTAAAGATCATGTTATTTTGAGTAATGGATAATGGAGGATTGTTTCCATTAGAATATTTTATATTTGATGATGTTAGTTATCTATATAGATAACTTGTTGAAAGAATTTGGTGGAAAATATATGTCCAAGGTAATTGTTGCTCTATCTTATAAAGCAAGAGTGAGATGAAGGTGAAACTATGAATAATGATTATAGTCATGCATTATTGTGACTATGTTACTTAATTTACTAATCAAGGGATTATAATTTTATTAGTTATCTATGAGAATTATTTTAGATATTCTTGATCAATGGGAGAAGTTGATTTTTCTGTTAATAATAAGTTTTATTTTACTCATTGTCTCACTTATTATTTTATAATAATGCATGTGCATTGTACTAATGATTTTTATGAGCTCATACAAATATTGATCTTGAGATCTTGAGGTATAAAGTATAAAGGCTTCTTTGGAAGTGAGGGAGATTAAGCCTTTGGAAGTGAGGGAGATTATCTTTTGGGTTTCTATGAAACCATAATAAAGTTTAAAGACTTCCTTGAGGAAGTGTAAAAGGGATTACATCCTGATAAAAGGGTTTTTTTGAAATCATAAAGCGGATCGTTGTGGTTTTGACATGTTATATATTGTATGGATCATGTTGTGTCAAACCACACTACACTTTATCACACCTATTGGAATTAATGTTGGTGGAGATATTTGATACTTGTGATTGTGAGGGGTCTTGTGGTATTAAAGACATAATGACCGCACCGTTCGTTATTGATATTTTCATTGAATGAAATTTTGTACTGAGATTTTGATTTATATTTGTGGCCACTAAAGTTATATTTGACCCAAGAGTCATTTTTTCTAAAATATATTTTTAAAATTTTAAAACCAATTAGCGTTGCTCAAGTGGGAGAATATTGGAAATTTTATTTAAGCTGCTACTAATTGTATTTGGTTTTCTAAAATTGGGTCAAATGGAAAACCGGTAAAGCTCAATAAAGTAATGTGATTCAAGTGGGTCTAGGTTTTATCTCAGTTTTATATGGTGCAATATGAATAGGTGTAAAACCTAAAATATAAAGGTGGGCTACTTGATGGGGGTGCCTAAAAGATTATTATAATGGATTAGGTCCCCTCTTCCATTCAAAAAACCCTATCTCTATAAATAAGAGAATTAGGGAGTGGCATGACCCATCGGTTGTCATTAGACAGAAGTTGATTAAGGAGAGGAAAACCTAAATCTCAATACTAACTATATTTGGTTTTGTAGGCTTTGTCATGAAATCTCTAATTATGATGATTCTTAAAGATCCTTGAAAGTTTTTAGGTAATATATTGATTATGGAGATTCAAGGTACATAATTACTTTATTTATTAATTTTGTCATTTTGTGTATTACATATATTATTGATTTGAATGATTTGGTGTTTTAGAATCTAATTTGTGAGATTGATTATTGAAGAAAATTCCAACATCCTGATCACCAAAAGAGACCATAATTCAAAGAAAAAACATTAATTGGTTAACATGGAAACTCTAGAGCAGAACTTCTTGACTACTATTTTAAGCAATTCATGAAAGAAGAGAAGTGGGTTACATATGCAAGGAATACCTGGAGGATAGACTGTGATAGAAGAATGGAAATGGAAGTTTTTAACATTTTCCAAACGTCATTTCCACAGTATTTCCTTGTAGCAGGCCTCCATATATCACTCAGTGATATCCTTGATAAGAAAGTTGACCTGGGTGAAATATTTTTCGGTTAATAAGAGAGAATGGTCTAGGTTATACAATTTCCTAAAAATAGTAAGAAACCCTAATGGAGGACAGCATTATAGCAAACGTGAACATTACACCAAAATGACATTATTCCAGTAGCTTAGTTCTTTATTGTTCATGTTCTTTGGATCAAAAGGAAAACCATGCCACATCCCACATGTCAACTCACACACTCCAATCATACCCTAGCCATTAACAAAAAAAATAAAAAAAATGTAAAAACAATGAGGCATCGAATGCCCAGCTTTTGCCCTTGATAGTTGATGTCAAAATAAGATTAAGAGATTGATTAAAACAAACCTTAAATAAGGTTCGGAAGCATTACTGTCACTATTAAGCTGAAATTGAGTTTCTGGTGTAGGAGGTATAAGCCCAATCCAAGCAAGCAACTCTCTAAGAAGCCTTCCACGAGTTCCTATTTCTGATAGAAATCCCTCATAACGACTAGGCCTTCTGTGCTACGAATCAAATAGGAAGATCACTATCTGATGGTTGGTCTACTCCCAGCAGATTTTCAGAACTTTGTTCATTATTAAAATATGGCTCCTGAAATTGGGCCAGTTCCTTCAGCCAGTGCTTCATTCTCTTAACCCAATCTTGTGCTTCTTGGGTCCGCCAAGCATCTTCTAAAGCCTGTGCTAGAGGAGAAAAAGAAGCTTAGTAAAATGCATACAATCCAGCAAGCTCCCTAGAAGATAAAATAAGCAATAAAATACACCATATTGTTGTAGAAGCCATTTGAATCCTAGTCTCCCATCACAAGGCCCAATTGATTTTACAACATATACTTTTTTCCTTGAGTTACATTCTATAAATATGTTTGAGACAACAATAAAAGGTGAAGCTTCAGAGTTCAGAAATCCTAATTGCTGATATATATGAGCCTATCTTTAGTCTAAATGGGCCAAGTAAGAAGTCATACAAAAGCTTAGCATCTTTGACCATCAACCCACGGCATGCATTTATTTCTAATTTACAGATAAAAAGAGAAAAGAAAAGAGCAATGACCTCGTTTACCCATTTTTCAGCTTTAACCAGTGGTTTTGATATGATAGAGAAGATTCCTCGCAAAAGTCTGGATTGCAAGTAATCCAGTTCTTCAACAATTAAAAGGCCCTTCTGTCTCTCAGTTGTATATCCACGCCTGAGGAAAGAATCATGTAAGAAATATAGAAGTTGTGACCATCAGCATAGTTGAAATCTTAAAGTGGGTAATTCCAGCACAAAAAATGCAATCAAAGCAACTAACAAGCATTGTGATTTCTTAGTACAAGCTTAGAGATTGGAATTTAAAAACAGGAAGGTATGAACTCAAACAGCAGCATTGCAAGACGTAAGTTTTACTTCCAGGCAATTTTCAGCTAATAAATGGTAACCAGGTTCATTTTTACTCAACAAAGGAAAAATGTTAAACATTATTCTTATAAGTTCCACCCATAAGAATAAATTACCTGAATTCAACTTAAGAAAGAGTTAAACTTAATTGTGCAAGCAGTTCTATACAACTAAGTTACCTGAATATAATTGCGTTTGATTAAGATGCCCTTTTCCAGTCAACATATATTGGCAACGTGAGGAGATAATCTGAATTGAGGGCACCCAAGTCGATGCTAACGTGTCGTACTTGAAGGGAGAGAAATAGTGGAATGCCGCAACGGGTCGTCGAATTGCAGGGGTGAGGAGGGGAAGTCAGGAAGAGAAGGAAGAAGATGTCAGCTAGATTGCTGAAGAAAGTTTTGAAAGAACAAGGGCAACGGACTCAGCAATTCATAGCTGAAGAAGAAGATGATGACGAGCAGCAGCTGAACGGCGACGAATCGGAGTCTCCAGATTCGGGCACTCGTTCTTTGAAGAACCCGTTCGACCTGCTCAACGAGGACGATGAAGAGGACAACCCCGATCAGGTTCAGTTTCTAAATCTC